CCCCACTAGACGTTTGGCCATATCCGCCCCCCGTGAATCGGGACGGCCTTCCGGTCGGGGCCGACATGGGACTCTGGCCGGGAGCTGGGGTCTCCTCCAGTCCGAAAGAATCTGCCTCACGCAAAAGCCGACAGTTCAATTGTTCCAAAGGTGAGTCAAGATCAGCAACCTGAACCTGCGCTACCAAGGCCCCGATCGGGGTCACCTCCTCGGGCAGAGCTAGACGCTGGTCGAGCAATTGACGACCTTGCACCAGAAACGCGATTCTTGGAGCATGGTCATTCACGTTGACCAGCGTCAGCTCGACAAGAGCTCGTGCTGTAAGCCGCTTTACGCCCTGATCCACAGCGACCAGCTCAAAGATCATCTGGCGAGGATTGCGCTCCGCGTCCAACTGGCCAAGCAGCTGTAGATGCCCAGTGTATAGCGAACCTTGGCCACCGTGACGTCCCTCTTTCTGTCCAATAAGGCCACTAATGAAATGGAATACGTTTATGGTTTATTCTATAAGAACACAGTTAGGATAATGCGAAATCGATACAAATGGATGGAAAAAAGAGCATTTGTGAAACACACCTTGTTTTTACAACTTGATCATTTTGGCAGGAAGACCTAGAGGAACACACCTAGTCTGGAGTCCATAGTATGCCCGATAATATCAAGATTCAGACCGTGGACTTGGTACATTCCCAGACGTTTCGTCAAATCGTCAAAAGAGACAAGTAAAGTCAATCGCTTGACCAACTTTCTGCCGAAACGCTTGTGCTATCACTCCTCGTTATCTACTGGCACCTATATCCATATCCTATCCTCTTGTCTCGCCGTCATCCTATCACGACTTGTGACATGTTTATATTCTACAAGAGATGCGCCCTTTTGGAGAATTTACCACGGCGTCATCACACCTGTTTGCTTTGCCACAAAATCTTGGTATGCATAGCTACATCTTATTTGAGGCTAAAAGGATAATTTTAGAGCAACCAAATGGTAACGCGAAAGTTGAGTTTATAAATTTGTTAAAGCCATTTTGCCCCCTTCTTGACAATTGCTAACCAAAGATTAAAATTTATTGTGAAGTAGGTGGATGAGTGTGGATTCGCTAGCGATGCTATCCTAAAGTTCCTATGCCTTAAGGAGGTAATTCTACTGGTTGCTTACCTCTTATAAGAAGAAGTTCATACTAATTTCTTGAAAATAACTGTATCATGCTGAAAAAATGTAATTCATGATAAACAAAGTTTCGTCATTTGGAAAAGTCACTAATGTTGGCCACATTGCGAATATCAACAACTCTAAGGCACCACGTTATCTTTGTGGCATGATAAGCGCTTTATTTCCCATTTTATTGATGAAACACTAGTGGTGAACCCTTTAATTGCATTTGACATTTTTGTGGAAGTAAATTGTTGATTGACCTTATCTGCCCTGTGGTTGGTACATCTGATCGATGCGGAGTATCCTCGCAGTATTGTTCTGCTATTACGGCCCATTTGGTCCCGTTGAGATAGACATCTTAAGAGCTCGAATACATTCTCAAATCGAAATAAACTAAATATGAAGCCATAGCTGGTAGCTAGCTACGATCTTAATGATCGTTTTGGCTAATCGAAGCTAACTTTATATGCTTGCATTTAAGTGAATTTTAGGCATGAGAAGGAAGAGTGTGTTTCAATAAAATAAAATTAGTAGGTCTCGAAATTACCAGATCTTATTATAATAATGATACGTAGCTCGTATCCATCATTCGATTAAGAAATAATGCTAATGGTGATATTTTATTATAATTTTGAGGACTATCCTGGTCTAAAATTATTGAGTCCCTTTCCACTTCGAGTGAAAGTGTGATAAAGAGATTCCAATGTCGATTCAACGCGAAGCCGACGGCGATTACTTATAACCAGCTATTGGAACATTTTGGTTGGCGTTTAGGGTGAAGGTAAGCTAACTACTCGTCTGTCATATTAGGATATCATCATGTATGAGTATCATCCTTGCAAAAGTATTCAAGATACGAAGTGTAACTGGGTTTTGACGAATCTCATGAGATAACACTGTTGGGGGACTTTTATTTCGTATGAAAGTGCATGAAGAAGAGATTGGTAGGTCAATATTACCAGAAGAGGACGGCTGAATCCCGTGGTACTGCAGCCGTTTGGCCATTATAAAATAGTGTTAAAAGAAACTCTCATAGTTTCCTCTGTTATGCCAGCTGTTAGGGCGAAATATGACCCATTATCGAGATCTGGTTGCTAAAAGATTGTTTGCTCCTATGGTCGATGTCATGTTGGTGGTAGAAAGTTGAGTGGAAACTACTTATGCTTGATTGATAGATTGAAGGAGAGAGAGGGTGTTGAGCCGCCATTCAAAAGAAGGCGACTCAACTGATCTGCTCAGTGGTGGTTCTGACTTCACTCACAGTCGTTCAACATGTCCGATTAGGCTCATCAACCAAACCAGACGTGCCAGCTTACTCAACCAGCCCTAGTCATGACTTTCGTTGGGTGGTTAAACATTAATGACCATAAACTAAAAGGTTAGAACATGTGGTTTCGTATCTTGAATTACCCATTATCTCAACCTGCTTATGGACTTACGCAGTCACCGTCAAGGTTTTCTCTTGGGTCATTAAGTTTTGCTGATCACAGCTTGACAAGACTTTTGATCACTCGGTTTTAGGACCGGTACTGCGTATAGACGTCAACACACA